CATCGCTCGGGCAGATAGAGTTTTAGTGGGTATTCCCTCACCGACGCAAATCGGTTGAGGGAAAGTCACACACACGGGGAGGTTCGGGGTTGATTTCAACTCAAACCTCCTTACGGTGCGTAACGCATTTCTCTATCTATAAAAAAAAAAAAAAAAAAAAAAAAAATGAAGCTTCATATTTTTTTATAATTTTATTGTAGTTATCTTTCCATTTACACTTCACATCTGTGCTGGAAAGCTTCGGTAGTATTTCTTGGCTGGAACATTTATTATAATCATTATAAGAAGTATAGAATACAACATAAACATGCATGGCGCTCACCTTTCAACATAAAGTAGCGTTGCTACAATGTGCTTACACTGGCCCCCTAAAACAGCTGTGCAAGTGCATGTGGATTTTAATGAGATTTCTCTCCCCAAACTTATTGAACCACTTATTTGATGTAGTTTCTCGCGAAATTTTGTTAGTTTGTGCACAATCTGCTGAAATCACAGCTTCGGTTTGACAAGCGCCGTCAACTTCTCCACAGAGTACAACGTGTCCTGCTGCATATATGCGTTTTCCTTCAACCATTTTTCGTTCTCCGTCGCTTGAATTAAAAAAATATTTGATATCCTCTTTTGTAACGTACATGTTTAAGCTGGTACTGGACTTTGGACACAACATAAACATCTACCATATAACCTTTAAACGTCTACCACTGTACAGAAATCAAAACAAAACTTGACAGGTAGCAACCAACACTAGCCTCCTATGCACGGTTTGAATAAATAAATAATTATTGCAAACGAACGGACAATCGGATTTGCTCAAAACTTTTTTCCTAACAATTTAAACTTCATATAAACTTCATTTTGACTGAACCCTAGACCTAGAAAAAAATTTTATACATTTTTAAACAATTTTTTAAGGCTCTGCCCCTATGATTTCCCGTGTTACTGCCCGATCTCCTTCCGCCATCTTGTCTAAAAAATTTCTACTTCATATTTCCCAATAGGAGTAGTAGGTGTGGTAAACTATTTATAAAAAGAATAAAAAGCAAGGGGCCGAGAACATTGCCTTGAGGCACACCAGATGTAATCCGGTTATCAATCGTCAAAGAGCCTTCCTCCCTCTGCACTGCAATGGACCAGGCAGAAATATAGCTGTCAAACCAGCGAACCCTGGTACTGTCACAGTCCATTTCAGGACGCTTACGAATCAAAGGAAGATGGTCGATCGCATCAAATGTCTAAATTTTAGTGGTATTAAAAAATTTTATAGATTTTTTCTGTTCAAATGAACTTTGCGAAATTTATAAATAAAATATTGAAAAGGGGCATTTTTTCTATGTTATCGTACTACTAGGTCAAAAATAACGACGGGGATTGATACTAAGCAAAAAATTATGTAAAAAAACATCTTTTTAATATAGATTGTACCTTCAGAGCACAGTAGGCAATATAAATCTTATTTAGCGATGCTGTCCAATTTTGGCACAACGTTTTTAAACTTAAAAAAGCTATCGACAGCTATTCAGGGCACCTAGGGACATCAGGTAGACGGCAATTTTCATGTTTTTAGTTAAACTAAAGGGTTCTGACAGTGTTCCCAAAATTAAAAAAATTTTTTCCAAAACGAACCGGTCTAATGTACGTAAGCAATTATTTTAAAAACCGCTGCCAATTTATTTGCAAAGAGCTTCCTCATAAAAAATTATATCAATGAAAGGGTTCAGTTACTGAAGGGAAAATTCGTATTTTTTGTAAATTTTGATTTAAGGGGGGCGCGTAGCACCCAAAAATTGCCTCGACTAGGAGGTAAGTGTACATGTAAATGGGGCTCCCACCCATTGCAAGGGGGGGGGGGGAGGTAATAATGACGCCATGTGAACTCATTGTGATTCGTTCCGGGGTGGGCGCGATGTGAATATGAATAATGATCTACCGTGCTCATTACTCCTGATACGGCGGAGATCGTCGGCCCTAAGCTAGGAGTAAGCGGTTTAGCGTACTAAGACTTATGCCTTGGACATCGTAGCCAATCGGCCGAGAAAATTTGTTGGTAATTTAATTTAGTTTCCAAGTACGTAAACCAAATTGTCCTACGACGTCTGGTTCCAAATCTTATTTTCAAGCCTATCACATAACTTCCTCTATGAGGAAGCAAAAATGCATTTTTGGAGGTGAAATCGCGACAACATTTTTTTCACATGAAGCTTGTACGGACCCCTGCAAAATGTTTGTGAAGGTTCCAGGAACATGCAGAACGTATGTGCAATAGGGTGGTCCTTGTTAGGTTGGTGTGATCACCGCCTGTCGATATCGCAGAGCCGCTGCTCTACCATGCGATACCTACGAGAGAGACTTGAGCGCCGCGAGTCTGCCGGCCGCCGTCTCTCCCTACTCACTCCGCATCTATACACCGCCCCGCGCGCACGTTTAGATCCTTCTCTAACTTTTTCTTTGCCTAGTGCCCTTTTGTTTGTTTTACGATAAGCTCGATTGCTAGTCGTACGTTTTGATAGAAACTTTCACATATCTTTCTTAACTACTATAAATAAATAAAGTTCAGTGTGTATTTGATAAGTGAATTGTGTAAGTGTTTAATCAACCCTTCCATTCCAACTAATTATCCTCGTCAAGCTCAATCAAATCACCACAGTCCTCTTTTTCAAAAATTTTTTGTATCTCGGGGGATCCATCGGAATCTGAAAGTTTGAGGTTTAAAATGAATTTTCCATTAAACTAGAACTCAAATAAATGATTTTAGATGGTGTCGATGAATTTTTGAAGTTTAAAAACGTGCTCCAAAAAAGAACAAAAATCGGGCTATTATTCGATTTATTTCAAACTCTGTTCAGAGTATAAAAATAATCGTAACAATACATTTCCTTACGTGTTTTTGACTGCAGAATCGAATGCCGTGGTCAATTTTTACCTAAGAGCACAATTTCATTCAAAAAAATACACCTTTTCGATCATTCTTTTTCGCAAATTCCGCAAAGTTCATTTTCGAGCGAGCGGCAAATGAACGGAAAAAATTGGGAAAATTTTTTGACACCACCAAAATTTAAGATGTTTTATGACAAATCCAACGGTATGTATTAGTATACACTTTAAAATTATTTTAATGCAGAAAAATACGACTTTATCCCAAAAAACGATTTTAAAACAATGGAAAAATGAAAAAATATATTCGTTTCTTCAAGACAATGGCTGAGTATAATCACTCATGAAAAAAAGTGCATGCAAATATCTGATAGGTTTTTTTCTCACCTTTCCAACGCCGTTTACCGATTTAAAAAATCAGCAAGATTTGCTGAAATACAGCTGTTTTTGTACGATGCATCCCCTGAGGATGCATTCCGATGGATCCCCCGAGATACAAAAAAATTTTGAAAAAGTGGACCACTCTAATGTACAGTCAAAATTTTGATATTGTCTTTTTTATAGCTACTCTTGTGATTTAGAGGACGAATAATCATGTTTTCTCATAAATACGGCGACTTACTCAATTTTCTAACTTGCCAAAAGCATCAAAATTCATCTAAAAAAAGTAGCTGACTCTGTGTATTCGATAGAAAATTTTCTCAGTATTTTAATGATAATATAAGATTTTTGGATAGATTGCATTTTTCCCGAGAAAGTATCTATCAAATATGCTAAGCTAAATATCTCGAAAAACTCGATACGAAAAAAGTAAACTTTATGGTTTATTGATGTTATTGATTTTTCTTTGTGGAAATGATAATTAATGGAAAATCTGACTGCACCATGAGAAAGCTGAGAACATTTTTTATGCTAACTACATATTTATTCATTTGTTCAGTCAAATTACGAGCGAGTTTTAATCGTGGCGTGCCACGGGAGAAACTGCGCGACCACGCTAAAAATGGCTACTTTTTTTAGATGAATTTTGATGCTATTTTTGTGGACTTAAAAATTGAATACGTATCCGCATTTCCAAGAAAATATGATATTTTGTTTGTACGTTCTTACTTGTTTCTGGGACTTCCAAAAACATATCCAGGGGGTCTGTACCAGCATCATGTGAAACAAATATGGGACAGTAAATCCTAATGAAATGAACTGCTTTTATTACCGATTATGTTAAGAATTAAGCCTGAAAAAGTTTCATTACGATTTATTTAATATTTCCAAGGTTATTGCAATTTTTTTCGAAAATTATTTTTTTTTATTTCAATTTTCCTGATTTTCGTAAAGGCCAAAGTGTGTTTCTAACATTTTTGAGAAGTGGTTTTGGAAGATGAGGAGCCAAACGTTTATTTGAGATCAAAAGCATTAGGATTTATCTATTATTTCAAAAATTACATCGTGAAAAAAAAAGTTTTTATCTTCCTTTTTCAGAAACTTTTTTTTTTTGTCACTGAGTTGAAGTTTGAAAAATAGCTTCATTAGCACTTATAAATAAAATAGAAACAATAATTTTTTTATGAAGAAAGTTTTTGACAATAAATTGGCAGCGGTTTATAAAACACAATTCATAGTGGAAGGTGGCCACTAGTTGCATAAATAAGTTGATTTTATTGATCGAAGGTTAAAAAAAGAAATCTGCCTTTATGTTTGATAAATTTTCAAATTATTAAAAGTTATCGATATTATTATGAGTAAGGCTCAGGATTTTTGAAATGATTGTACTCACGTATGTCACCGATCGGGACGCGCTTTTGGTATGATATAATACATAGTAAAAGGGTTACAAATGTACTTTTAAACAACCTCAAGTATCCAAACAATTTTAAAAAATGACTTTAGAATTGGCAGCGATAGAAAATTGACGTTTTACCTACAGGTCTAAAATTTCATCTTTGGAACATTTTTAATATGCACTATAACATAGTTCTTGTATTTGTCGCCCTCGGTTCTCCAACAAACTTTGATAATTAGTCATTGTAATAGTTTAAACCAATTCGTTAAAAAATGTTGTCATTTTGAAAGTTTGTTATACATTTGAAAGTATGTTTATAGTATATTTTAAAATTCCAATAAGTTCTTACTAAATTATCTCCACACAGTGTGCCATCGTGAACTAAACCAAGACCTGGAACTGATCTTTCCGATTTTATATCTTCCATCGTTGCTCTAAAAACAAATAGTCGTTATTTTAAAAATTCAAAGAATATATTATAGATTCTTCCATTTTTTTTAATAATAAAAATGTGTAAGTAATCTTTCAATACCAATTAAGAGAAAAGATGGTGTTTTAAGGTAATATTTGAAAATAGTCAAATAAATCGAAATAGTTGAAAATTTTATTTCTCGATAGAAAAATATGTTAATACTACACTTGTAGATTTGAAATCTTGTTATGGTACGGCATCAGTGGTACTTTGCAAGAGACTCTGGGATTCCAAAAGAAGTGTTGCGTCGCAAGAGTCTTAAGTCTCTGGTAAGTCCAAAGGCTGCGCTCTCTGGGATTTTTAGAGATGTGAGCAAGTCAAGACCTTAAGCTAGAGTGAGGCTCCGGACGAGTGCGCTCGCTTATGTAGCGGCAGAGTGGGGAGCCGACTGTGGAGCGCATCTAGCCGATGGATATTAATTTTCTTAAAATTTGTCGTATTTTGACGTGAATATCAAAATGTAAAGAATTTTTTTCAAATTTCGCTTTACTTGCATAAAAGAGGGTACTTTTCTGAAGTTTTTGAGACCCTATAGAACGAAATTGATGAAAAACTCGCTTCAATATCATGCAGCGAGTGACGAATATCACAATATTTCGTATTATGAAAAAAGTAATGTAACTGGGATTGCAGAACCTGGGTAGAAGTTTTTTTCGGTCAATCAGATGTAGTTTGATTATATATTATTACCAAGAGAAAAAATTTCAATTATTTCTTCATATGGACATTTATATGGATAATCAAATATCATATTAAAACATCATCTTGTTCCCTTTAGTCAATGAACATAAGTTTTTAAAGTTTTTTAGACCGGCAGTTAGTGACAAATTATATGTGCTGATTTTCCAATTTATGCTCATAAAATGACTGAAAGTTATATCAATAATAATTACAAAATCGGAATATGACGCCGTATTAGCGTGGAAATTTATTTTTAGGTGCTGATTTTTTAACTTATACTATTATTAAAAATGTCTCTATTTTTGCAGTATCTAGTTGTAAAAAATATTTTGCGCTTACTTGCATTCATACTCGTTTCCTTTTATTGATATTATTGTTCTTGAATATAAAGTATCAACACCATCAATGGCTGGTTGTTTTCCACCTTCTTGACACTGTAAAAGCCCACAATACACGTTTCTGTAACAAAAAATTTCATGATTTCAGAAAGTTCATGGGTAATTGAAATAAACTTCCACAATCAAATAATTATAAAAGGCTTCTCAATCTTGACGTAAAGTCAGTTCTTTATGAAAACTAGCGAATTACCTCGCTCGCTAACGCTCCACGGAAAAAAAGCTCAGTAAACGGTACGAAAACGCTAGTTATAACAACAAAATTCGTTTTTGTTACCACAACCGACATATTTTAGTTACGACAACTATTTTCCCTGTTGCTACAAAAAAATGGACTTTTGTTGTCCTAACCGAGAAAATAGTTGTCGTAACTAAACAATTTTGGTTGTGGTAACAAAAACGAACTTTGTCCTTGTAACTATCATATTGACTTCCCACTATTTACTGCACACTGAAAAAAAATGTACACGTAAGTCCAGCGAAAGTTGACAGTTGATCAGTAAAAAATATTTTACTGTGGTAGCCAATATTTTTGTCGCCGCGGCTAAATAATTTTAAAGTCCGAGCAAAAGGTTTTGTAGCAGTAGCAATCTATCTTTTCATGTCTTCGATGGCTACTCTTGTACAGGTAAACTCTTGCAGAAGTAACACGAGTAATCGCGTGAACACCGAAGAGCACTGTCAACATTTTAAATCGAGTTCTAAATGCGGCCGCATTGTAACTAACTATCATGCTACATAACACATGACACGCTGAACACCTACACGAGCTCGAGTAGTTGGCGGCTGCTTCGACGCACACACACGAGTCAACTCAGAACTTGTCGATCCAACACATGCTGCATACAAACACACTTACGCACACGTATACACGTACAAATACGAAGAGCACAGCGTAGCATTGTTGGCCGTCTGAAACAGCGTGACTGTTCTTCGTATTCGTATACGTGTATACGTGTGCGTAAGTGTGTTTGTATGCAGCATGTGTTGGATCGACAAGTTCTGAGTTGACTCGTGTGTGTGCGTTGAAGCAGCCGCCAACTGCTGCCGCATTTAGAACTTGATTTAAAATGTTCACACTTGGAGAGAAAAATGTTGGATTAATCCCGTAGCGCTACACATGGGGTATTCCGCACTATGTCTCATGCAATCTTTCCCCGCGCGAGCACAAATAAATACAGTGGCGCTACGGAATAATTACAGATTTTCCAAGCTCGGAATATTTCCAAGAGTGCCCCTGGAATTTGCTCAGCGCAAGATCAGGGAATTGACCACGCATGAAGCCGTCGCTGCGACTGCCGCCGAAAACCATCGTACGGATACATACTATTTAATAATGAGCTATTTAAAAAGTCCATGATTAACTGGGAAATAATAAAAATTAATAATAATACTTATTTTTATTTACCATCAATCTATTTATTGACATACATAATAAATTATAATACAACTGAAATAAAAATAAAAATACTGACAAAGTTAATCATAACGAGTAGCGATCAATTCATATTCAGTTTTACGTTTTACATAAATACACGGCGGCAATGGAGGCATGTTTTTTTGATCTACAAAAATTGTTTCATTTATTGTAACCACTTCATGTGCATGGATAAAATTATTGAATCCCAACTTTTGGAAAAGATTCGTTTCGAAAAAAATTTTATCATCGCAGTAAAAAATTTGTTTACTTCTACTAAATCGCATACCCTCGTCATTGATTTTATAAACTATTACAGTACCTTCATTAAAATCTTTTCCACGTATTTTTATGTATTTGAGCGTAACCACCTTTTTATCTTCAAATGTCTCTGGCATTTTTAATGGGATGATAACATTACTGTTCTCAATCGGACCAAGCTCAAATTTTTGTAAATAGTGCTCATTGTTTTCAATATAATTACAAAATAAAATTTGATTATGAATCGCAATTGTTAAAGGTAAATTAACATTTGATGTAGTCGCTGACGCAATGTCCTTTTTACTTTTATGTTCCCTTTCGAATTTATAGCATGAAAAATGCACTACAGGACCGAACGATTTTGTTATGTTCCCGTTGACACTGGGTAATAACTTTATTATTTAAATATTAAATATTATTTTCTGTTGTGTCTGAGTGGGGAGGGAACATGAAATAAAGTGTATAATGCTCAGGTGAGATTTACACACAAGACTTTATTACAAGAAAACTACTCACTATTAAACAAGCTTACAAAATAAGTGTGGCCGATGCTCGTCGATCTGTAGGGCTGCAAACGCCGTCGGGACGTTACGGTTGCCGCTGTTACTGGGGTGTTGCGCTGATGCTGCTTGGCCGTCGGTCACGGTTGTCTCGGTGGTGGCGGCGGCTGTTGCAGTGACGGTCGTGGCTGCTGTTGGGACGTTGCGCTGCTCGGCTGGTGGAAGCACTCACTCGGGCTTTACCGTTCGCGAATACAATTAGTAATTTCGATGCTCGCGGCGTATAATTACAAGTACAAGCTAGTCGCTGTTATAGCTCGTTATTGGTTCTCAATAAGTACAATATGTGCAATTCGTATTGTATTACAAGTCTGTTAAATATCGCGAAGTCGCTATTACAATGATTCTATTATTCGCGCGCACAGAGCTTCGCCTTACTCGACTCTCTATAATGATCTGCCCAGAGCTTCGCCCTGCTCGACTGTATAAAATGATCTGCCCCGAGGCCTAATTTTTATGCACGTTATATACTAATTTAATCGTGGACCTTTTGGCGGGGGTACGTCTTGGGTATTTTCCTCAAGTCGCAAATCTACCAGCTATTTCGTCACTTGTTGACTAAGTTTGCGCAAGACCAGGATGTGCCCAATAGTTATCTGGGGTCAAAGGTCAAACTTTTGGAGATATGGGACTTGCGAGTGCGCGTGCGAACTTGTTTCGCCCCTTTGTACCAATTCAAATCATTCCATGAGTCTCGTCTCGCATGTGTGTGTTATGCCTTCTTTGTGTTCGACTTGCACACACACGCGAGTACACATACACGGAATATATACGCGTGCGGGGCTTGATCTAGTGCGTCGGTAATGTTGCTCGCGCACGTCCGTACATACCTTCAGCCTTTGCCTTGTTCTGTGTTCGGCTGATACACATACGCGCGCGGGATACATATATGTGTGGGCTCGACCTAATGCGACGGTATGCGTAGGCCACTTACATTCACACACACATTCATGCGACAGCGCTTGCCTGTCTCTGTATTCGTCTTACACACATGACTCTTTACCCGCGAGATCAAGCGTCACACGTGTTAATTTAACGGTCTAATTTTAATTATTATATCTTGTGACGGGGCACAAGGCACATAAGCGTAGCGCCGTGAATTTTAGCATAAGCCGCGCGAGCATGTGTGTGTGTGCGTGTATGTTTTCGCGACTTACAGGTCGAGAAGAACAGCAGCAGCGGCAGCAGCAGGCAACGACGTTTTGGCACGTGCGGCGGCGTACGCGTGCGAGAGAGACAGATTGCTGCGCGTGAGCAGACGTGCCGACGCGCAATAGATCGCGAGAGAATAGCTCGAGCAAGCAACACGTCGAGACACGTGAGATACACGACAGCCATAACGAGTTTCGAGGTTATCGCCAAGTTACAAGTGCGAGAGCAGTAAAGTGAAAAGCCACCGCGGATTGTGCTCGTGGAAGACGACACGTACAAAAGCCGACGCAAAGATACGTGTGTGATTTCGCCCAGGAGGGCTAGTTATTGTGTGTGCTCGCGAAGCAGTTGGCGGCAGTAAGGCAAATCTCGCCCAGCCGGGCCCGTGCCAGCCAGTGCACCCGTGTGAGTGTCGCCCAGTGGGGCTCGTACAAGTGAGTGCGCACGTGTACACAGAATTGAACCTCGTTGCCCAGACGTGGGCGTAAGAACGCACCGCGTCGTCGCACGTGCTCATCGACGCCCGGACGAGGGCCGAAACCGGTGAGAAAAGGAGCCGATCCAACGTCGAGGCGCCGAAGATTTGGGGTTAGTTGTTAAGATTATTTGCGAGTCATTGGTCGACGCGACTGCCGGGTCGCGGGCGTGTGATTGCGTGTGTGTTCGAGCTCGGCTGACGAGTATCGCAGCGGCGATACGCAGCCAGCATTGTATTGGTGTGCGTGAGTACGTCAACATCCGTGCCGGTAACATTAGAGCGGATCACCCGCGACAAAGTATAAGACGCATCATCGAGACCACGGCGCGAGTGCCACGTCGCGTCGGTACACGTGCACTCGACATCGTCGCATAGATCACGCGCGCAGCGGCCATATTGGCTCGGCCGATTAAGCTCGTATCACGGGATACGATAGACGCGAGCGCCGAGCGCGCCCCTGGTGGGCAAAGTCGGAAGTAAAGTTGAGTCGAACTTGTGCCTCGTCGCGTATCATTGTAAGATATCGCCCGTTGGGCAATTTGAAGTGGTCTTTCGACCAGTTGGGCCTTGCATTGAATAAAGCATTACATTTAATCGACATCATAACCTAGTTATTTCGCGACCGTTCGTTTTCGCGGATTTCAGCATCAGTTGCAGGAGGTCAACGGTAAGCCAGCGAGTCTACAGCAAGCTCGCACTGACGACGGGCCCAATATCCCCTCTGGGAGTACTCGGCCAGGTAAGGTGGTCCTATAGAAATTTATTCGACGGCAGGTGATTTGCTGCTTTCTCCTACCCCGGGGTCGGCCATCCGTCGCAATCTAAATTTTACTATACCTAACGCTGGGTTATTGGTATATAACAATTCAATAATGCGGACGTAATGCAATAAGAAATGCATTTTTGGAGTTAATCGTTCAAAACATTCGACATACAACATAGAAAACGATTGAATTTTTTCTTTCAATACCGCAAGTTCTCCCTTAATAATGGATGGTTTTAAAATGATTCCTATTATTTGCCTAAAAAATGTGTATATTTTCCAACTCTTGTGATAGCCAATAATTTGATCGCCAATAATTAGACCCAGATATCGACATATCAATTCAGCCGAAGATTGTTTCACAACGATTTTACCTTCTTTTAAAAATAAAGGTCTAGGCTTATTTTTTTTCAACATCATTTAAGACAAATTG